TAGAATACTTCTTTTCTGGTCATTTTTCTACAAAGAGTAGGTTTTTTTGAGAAGTTTTTTTTTTTTTTTTTTTTTTTTGTCTGCTCCTGTTTGTGTTTCTGGGTTGCTGCCTCTCTTGCCTCTAGTTCAGAATATACAAAATAAAAAGAGAACTCAAGGAATTTACTGCCACATTATTCCTAAGGCCCTAAATTCCCTATTTGGTCTCTCTTTTTCTCTTGACCTTTTAAAATACTCTTGTGTTTGTTCTATGTATAATATGTAGGAATTTTAGCTGTACTTTGCAGGAGAAATGGGGGGAGGAGTATATCTGTTCCATCTTGGCTCAGAGCTGGATGGAAAATAAATTTTTAAGTTTTTAAAGCAATTTAAGAATTTTCTAATCATAAATCCTTGAGAGCTAAATTAGAACCACTTCAGAAGAGTTTTTCAAACTATATAGTTGGTCATATATCACACTCGTCACTCTCCATTCTTCTGGGTCTCCATTTTGCCGGGAGGGCAAAGAGTCACAGTACAACAACCCTCCCCCTTCCTCCAACACTGAGAATCACTGGTTACAAATCCTGCTACTGATCAATGTGGTTTATCTTTCTCAAGTGTTTTGGGATGGAAAAAATTGAGAACCTTGGCACATTATGACATATGACATGAAGAAATTGAAACTTGAAGAAGGGGCAATCTTGTCACACAGCAGAGATGTGGTGAAACTAAGCTTGCACGTGAATCTACAGTGGTACTATGCCAACAAATTATGTTGGTACCTTGTTAAAATGCAGCTTCTGGTTCAGTTAAGTCTGGAGCAGTGCCTGATGTCCTGTATTTCTAACAAATGCCCAAGTGGTGTGGATGCTGTTACACTTTGAGTAGCAACACTCTAGAGCATTCAGCTTATTTTTCTTTTCACTATCTGCATGAATTGCAGTTGTTTAACAAAGAAATACAGAATGGGTGGGTTTCACAGATAAGAATCTCAATATCTATGTGCCTGGTGTGTAAGAATAGAGGAAGGTCTGAATGGTAATGGAGACACAGATATGGGAGTAGAAAGACTCATTCAAACACCAAACACTCTGCTGGCTCTGCAATGCATATGCAGCTTCAAAACTCCTCTAATTTTGGTGAGGACCAAAGGAAAGCTTATCAAAAAAAAACCCATAAGCTGTTGAGCAGCCCATGTAATCTGCTTGGGGCTGTCAGTGAAGAATCTTTCCCCTCCTAGGAAGGATAAATTGACCTTCTCGCTCTATAATCTTATGGAGTACAATTCTCCAACAGGTAACAATTTAGGGAATGCACATTACAATTCACTGACAAGGCATGAGAGAGACCAGCAACACATGCATCTTGGTCTATTCTGCTTTGCTGTAGTATAATAGAAAGGAAGCAGAATATGCAGAGCATTCCGAGATTTGGGCCTTGGTCCTGGCTTCACTAGTAACTTATTATATGCAGTCGAATAAATCACATCATTTCTCTATGATAAATTTGTCAAAAGAACTTACTGATACTAGCATATGAGCTAAGGTTGATATAAAGTGTTGTACAAGTTAATACTAGTGGCTCAATATAACTGAAAAACTGAAGCCAAATGTGCCAATGAATTGGTTTGTAGCCTGAGCCTCATACTCTGAAGCCTTTGATATTGAAGATCCAGCAATCAATTTTCAAATAAATGGCATCAGTTATTAGTTATTAGCTACCACTTGGGCTTTTTCTCTGTCAAGTATCACTGCATTTTGTGTCATTTTTGGTTTGTGGTTCTATCTTACTGAGGAAATGTATACCTTACCTGTTAGGGAGAGATATCGTATACTTCTCAATGTCATTGCTCACACAATTAGCATCCCAGTGTCCCCACTGCAGCAAGGGACATTATGATTCACTCCCTTCTTCTCAGTTACCTAGAGTCTTATAATAATTATGACATGATGTGTGTGTGGTGGGGATTGATTTATGATTGGGTGTGTTAGTCAGAGAAAGGGAAAAAATGAGGGGTAGCAAGGACTAACAGTGGGAATGGAGGAGGACAAGAGATATTGAATCACAAATTATGAATATGTCCCTGGATATCAACACTTTGTGTGTGTTTGTGGATTTAATACCTACTTATTGACAGGAGAGAGCCCAAGTCAGTTTCGTGAGAGTATTCAATCATCAGAAAATTCCTAAGCCTGTCCTAGTCTCACCCCTTATTCTTCCAACTTCTTTGCACCTGGGTTGGTGCTTTAATCTCATAAGAGTGGGATTAAGAAGCATGTGGGTATTACAGGGAGATAAATCAGGACGCAAACGTCCTTTATTCATCTGCTGTGAAGAGGGCAACTAGACAGTTTATAGGAGCAACATTCAACTCTGTGAGTATTTCTCAACTTCTGATGTTTAAGTAGTTTGTAATTGAAAGGCTTTGTGGGTGGTGAAGGGTTGATGTGACTCTAAAATAAAGAGATGGAAGAAGAGAACTCTGAATCTGAGCCTGGACTGGGGCCAGGAATGAAACTAGGGAAAACATGAAGTACACCACAATGGCCTTATAATATCATGCAGCAGGCTAATAAGTGAAACTTGATTATTACAAGGTCGCTGCAAAAATTTATTGCTAAATTCATTTTGAAAGAACTCCAAACTGATTCCTTCCTTTTTGTGGCTCCCAGTTTTCTGGGAAAGGAGGGATGTGGGGCATTAAATGACCACAGAACAAACAGTTCTTTACACCCAAGACATGCTAAAAAAGACCAAAACACAAGAGAAGGACATGAAAGAGTGAGGATAAGGAGAAACAGAGTCAAGAGCCAGCCAGGAATAACCTCAGTGCAGTACAGATGGCTTAGCCTTCTTCCTCTAAGGTCAAAGTATTTGTTTGTTCCAATCTGAAGGAAAGTACTCACTGGACTTTTGTTCTTGTCTTTTCATGACTTTGGTTTGAGTCTTCCTTGGCTCTTCTCTCCAAATTATTTGATTTTTTCTGCTTCAGCAGGACCCTGGTAACATTTAGGGACAACTCCACCAGTGCAAGGAGAGCACTTCTGCATCTATCTCCTCCTGACCCCTCTTTCCCTTAGTCCTTCAACAATAGAATTGTCTATTTGCTTATATCTTTTCCAAGAAAGAAAGAAAGACTTGGAAGTCTGGGATGATGATAGCAGCATCAGAGATCCCGAGTCAAGAACCTTCTGAAATTGCTCTTCCTTAGCTGGGATTTATGGATGATCATCCTCTGTAGCTTTCTACAACTGAACTCTGCTGCCTTGGGTCCAAGGTGACACTAACCTTGGTTCCCCATAAAACCACGCCTTCACATATTACTTTGATGCATCCACTTCTTTCTGTAGGACAACAGTTCATAGTTTCCAAAAGGGGAAGGGCTAATATTGTTTTAAAAAGAGAAAACCATTCTGCCTCACAAAGGAATGAATGACTTGACACTTCTGGGAGGCAAAAATGTGAAACATCTTCTTAGAGCTAAAATCAAGTCTGAGACTAGATTGAGGATTGTTTAGCCTAAGGGATGCCCTTTTAATTCACAAGAAAGCATGGCCAGGATAAGTTTAGCCTTTAGTGATATCTGTGGTGGACAAGACTAACTTCCAAGGCTGGAAAGGGTCATATTTGTTCTGCTCCTTCCAAAGGTTTTACAGAGAGAACTGGGGGCACATCTAACACTCTAGGAGTTAGTTGATTGTCCTACATACTCAAAAATGAAATATTATACATGAAAGACACAATAAACATAAAATTCTTACCCATTGTGCAAACACTGAGTGTCATGAGGATCCATGGATTAGCCAGGAAGCTATTATAGAACTCTTTCTGAAGAATTCCTTTACATAATGCATCACACCTACAAAGGAACTCTGAGCTTAGAGGTGTAATTTCAAAATTTTATAGTTAAGTATGCAAAAGAAACTTATAGGAAAAAAGGAGAAGTACAATCGGGGAAAGATGGAAGTCAAGCGTGATTTTTAAGTTCTTTGGGGCTGCTTTTGGGGATGTCAAGGAATCCAAGGAGAGCTTAAGACAGAATTTTAAGGCCAGGCATAAATTAAAAGGGTGTTGAAGAGATGCAGAAGATTACTCAGCAAGTGCTGATGACAGTCACCTCTCTGGTACATGACAAGAGCTCTTCAACAGTTCGCCCAGGAGAAACGGTGTAGGTAGGGCAGGTGAACCTGTGTCACAATCATAGATTTGTTTGCTTGACTTCCTTGATTCCTAAGGTCTATTACATAGTTACTGTTTTTCTGAGCATTCTACACTGAACACTTGTTTACATTATGCCTTTTACTTTTCCCCATAACTCTAAAAAGAAGATATATTTGAATCATTTTATAGATGGAATGAGATCCAGAGAAGTTATGCGATTTGTCCAAGGTCACATAAACAGTTCTTGTGGAGCAGGAATTTGAGAATATATCTATTTGATTCTAAAGCACAGAAATTTTACATTGCGTTGCCCCCAAAGGGTAATTGATTAGTTTATGTTAGGGCTTCATATTATAGGCTCTGGATCTAACCCAGTGGGATCCTAGTTAGAACTTCTAGATAAAAATAAAAGATGCCCAGTGAAATTAGAATTTCAGATAAACAAAAAATAATCTTTTGAATAAGTATGTATCATGATATATTTGGGATATCCTTATCCTAAAAAAAAAACCCATTTGTTGTTTACCTGAAATTCAAATTTAACTGGGTGTCCTCCATTTTTATTTGTTAAATCTGGTAATCCTAATGCTAGTAAACTCTCCAGATGAGCTAAAGGAAAGTTTGTGCTTTCTTACTATTTTGAAAGAATTAAGAAGTCCAAAAAATTGATCTGAGAGAAATTCGCTAGTTTTCCTCTATAGCTTTGTCAGAGCTGGGATGTGTCAGTTACTGGTGGTAAACTCTGAGAATAATGTTGCTCTTGGCTGCCCACCAGCAGTTTCCACAGTCCCAACCATACTTGGACACAAACTGTGCCTGTTTACCAGGGCAAAAGAGGGTCCATAGCACAAGAACTGGATTCAGTGAACAGATGAACTGGCAGCCTATTTCTGAAAACCACTGAGAGGTTTGTGAGGAGAAGACCAATTGTTGCCTTCTTTATGGTTTAGTGGAGAATTCACAGGGTCAGGATTTCATGACCCAGTGTTCAAGATATTAGTTCAACTTCTCCATTTATTTATTCACCCATTGGATAAATATATATGGCACCCCTGCTATGTGCCAGGCCTTTTTCTAGGTTTTGAGGTCGCAGAAATGAACAAAAATGGAAAAAGCAACCTTATGGAGCACATTCCAGTGGGGAATTAAGATAAGATCCATGGCATGAACAAATGATCCAGAGCCCTGGCCAGATTGACCATCCTTGATACCTGCTCACAGGTTAGTCAATGTATTTCTGTTGAAGAAGTTGAGAACTAGAAGGAGAAAATTAAAATAGTAATTGGGGAAAAGAAGGTAAGGAAAAATATCTTTTATGCAAGGATGATAATTTAAACTGATTTTGAAAGTAATAAGAAAAAGTTGAACTTGAAGTCATAAAATATAAGATTTGAGGCATGGTCCATGTGGCAGAGAAAGAGAAAGAAGATTTGCATGGGCCAAAGATAGGAAGAGTCGGAGCTAAGAATATTAGCATAAATCAATAATTTATAGATTATATAAATAAATCTTCTAGGTAGCAGGGCATGGAAAGGATTGGTTCAGGGTAAGAGATTAAGGCTACTTATCAGTTCTTTGGAGCCTTTTAGAATCTTCCTTCCCAGGATAAGTGTTACCAACTTTTGTGATAGAAAAGGAGAAAAAAAAGTCATACTTTAGATTAGCATACTTACTTTTTTTTTTAGCATACTTACTTTTAAAATTTATCTTATTAATGCATTTTTATACTTGAAGACAATGTACAATTCTTCTTTTTTTAAAAAAAGGATCTTATTTATTCATGATAGACACACAGAAAGAGGCAGACAGAGGCAGAGGGAGAAGCAGGCTCCCTATAGGGAGCCTGATGTGGTACTCAATCTCAGGACCCTGGGATCACAACCTGAGCCAAAGTCAGATGCTCAACCACTGAGCCACCATGCATCCTGACAATGTCTATTTCTGTAGTTAAAGTAAAAGTCTGTGAAAATCATTTTGGGGGGGATCCCTGGGTGGCTCAGCGGTTTGGCGCCTGCCTTTGGCCCAGGGCATGATCCTGGAGACCCGGGATCGAATCCCACGTCGGGCTCCCGGTGCATGGAGCCTCCTTCTCCCTCTGCCTATGTCTCTGCCTCTCTCTCTCTCTGTGTGTGACTATCATAAATAAAATAAAATAAAATAAAATAAAATAAAATTAAATTAAATTAAATTAAATTAAATTAAATTAAAAAAAGAAAAGAAAATCATATTGGGGGGCAGCCTGGGTGGCTTGGTGGTTTGGTGCCGCTTTCGGCCCGGAGCGTGTTCCTGGAGACCTGGGATCAAATCCCACATCAGGCTCCCTGCATGGGGCCTGCTTCTCCCTCTGCCTATGTCTCTGCCTCTCTCTTTCTCTCTCCCTGTCTCTCATGAATGGATAAATAAAATCCTTTAAAAAAATCATATTGGGTAAGTCCATGATTTGGATAATGGGAGAAAATGTTTAACATTTCAGAGAGGTCTGTGGCTAAAGAACCTCATGTCTGGATATGGAGTTAAAGCATAAACTTACTACTTAATCATATTCCATTGCGTTCCCTAGTGTGTGTGTGTGTGTGTGTGTGTGTGTGTGTGTGTGTACTGAGATTATCAAATACCGCACAGGTTAGTGTCTCTGGTTCAGAGCTCCCCTGTCCAGATGACTACATTGTTATCCCCCAGAACTAGAAGTATCTTGATCACATGAGGTTTAAACAAAATAAGGACTGGAAGGTAAAAAGCCCATAAATTGTGAGGCAATAAACATTAAGAGTCAGGTTATTATGTAGTTGGGTGGAAAAATATATAAAGCTTAAAGAACATACCAGTTCTGTGAAGACCGTAGGTAGCATTTAGTCCATTTCCCTCTCTTCACAGAGAGTGGAACTGGTGATCACAGAGGGGAAGTACATATCATAATAAATTTACATAGAAAGCTCATGACAATTCATTGAAGCAACATATCTACCTAGATTTTTGGTTTGTAAATCTCTCTGTTGTGAAAATCTCTTTCTTGAAAATCTCTTTAAAAGCTGGTAAGTTCTTCCCTTTTGTTTTAACAAAAAGTCCTGAGCTTTTCTGGAACTTCCAGTGAGGGTCTAAGAAGCAATGGTCCCTGTAGCCTGAAGGGTTTTTTTTTCCCTCCTCTCACTATCTAAGGAACCTGAAAGAGAACCATCAGACACCCAGGGACATCAGGATGAGTGACAACACTACTTTGGCTCCTCCAGCTTCAAACCAGGGTCCCACCACCCCCCGCAAGGGGCCCCCCAAGTTCAAGCAGAGACAGACACGCCAATTCAAGAGCAAACCTCCTAAGAAAGGTGTGAAAGGGTAAGACCAAAATGAAAAGGAAGATTTGCTATTATTTTTTCCATCACAAGCTTGCTTTGGTTTTTGAGAAATTAATGCTCCCAATATTAAACAGACTTACAAAGATTTCCACAATCTTTGCTGAATCACGTTGTTAGCCCTGGAAGGTTTTCTCTCAGCCCCCAGGTCTGTGTTCACATTTAACATGGTAAATGGGGCCCGTCACAGCAACCTTTGACTTACCTTACCAGACTTTTTTGACCACTCCTTTTTACCAGTAAACCCTGTGGTTTAATTTGGAGTACTAAAACACTGGCCATTTCCAGAACACAGAGTTGATTTTTATGGCTGCAAAAGTTAAAAAAAGTCTTCAGTTCTTTATTTTTCTTTCTCTTCTTGGCAACACCCTATTTATTCTTTAACATACACCCATATGTTAGTTTCTCTTGTGAAGCCATTCCTGACTCTCTTGGACAAATGTGATCATTACTTCCATGTTTGCATCTTGTACATTCAACTATCATAACTTGAATTGTTTTACACTAAATTTGTTTATTTACATCTGTTCTCTGAGATTGAAGTTCCTCGGAGAAAATTAGCTTTTCCTTAATTCCCTATGCTTAATACACTGCCTGCCACATTGTAAATGCTTGATAAGTGCTTTTGAGTAACTAACCAAATGGATGAATTAATCATTTTAATATCTTTCGTACTGTGCTTTATTCCAATTTCTATTTTTTAAAAAATGGAGCTTGACTAAATTGCCCCAGTGATAGTTCTCTTTGGCTCTCAGTTGTTTTAGGCTAAATTTTTATGAGGGGAAAATCTCTCTCCACTGGGACACACTGTCTGAAACCAGCCTGAGTGATATTGTCTTTGCCCCAGGTCAATGCAAATAAAAGATATTTCTCAAAGACAAAAACTTAAACCTCTTCTTCCCCCTTAGTCAGGAAGCTTTCTCAATGAGTCATTTTGAGATCTTTTCACTCTGATGTCAGCTAATTTTTCTTTTTTTCCCCCATAGGTTTGGAGATGACATTCCAGGCATGGAGGGGCTAGGAACAGGTGAGCCACACAAGGGTGTGGACTTTCACCACTCTACATACGTTAGACCTCAAAGGGCTGTGAAAAATTATAAGAAATAGCTAAGACAGCAGATATTTGAAGACATAGAAGTGTGGGGCTTAGTTGAACCTCTTAAGTAAGTACACGTGTGCCCAGAGCCAAACATTCACAGAAATCAAGCTAAGCCCCGGAGATACAAAATCTTGTTCTATTAACCAATGCTTGAGGACATATGGTGATTTGTCAACTATCACGGTAGAGAAATTCTCAGGGTTAGTCTATCCCAACTTCATCACTTCTTCAGAAGAGAAACCTGAGACAGAGGGGAATTGAGTGACAATCTGAAGCCACAGAGTGAGGTATTGGAAACAAGGGAGGGGCTTGGAGACTTTTTTCAAAGCTACCAGGCAAACCCCTCCCTAACCAACTTCCTCTTTTTACATATTCTCTGGCACCTAGAACAGGGCCCACACACTGAATATCTCCAATACAATATTTTTTAGTTGGCTAGAATAATTTGAAATGGTGGATAATGAATGCAGATTACTGGACATTCTTTTAAAAATATTAAACTTTATTCTTTAGAGCAGTTTTACGTTTACAGAAAACTTAAGCAGAAAGTATGGAGCTCTTAATACCCTTGTACAAAGCTTCTCTTATTATTTGCATCTTACATTAGTGTGGTATATTTGTTATAATTGTTGAGCCAATGTTGGTAACATTAGTATTAACTAGCATTCATAGCTTATATTAGAATTCATTCTTGGTGTTGTCCAGGTTCTGACAAATACACAATGTTGCATATCCACCATTACAGGCATATACAGAATATATGCCCTAAAAATCCCCTGGGTTTCCCCTGTTCACCCCTTCTCCCACCCTCCACAAATTCTTGACAATCACGAACTTTTTTACTCTCAAAACTTTTGCCTTTTCCAGATTGTCATGTAGTTAGAATCATACCGTATATAGATTTTTCCAGACTGGCTTCTTTCACTTAGCAGTATTTATTCATTTAAGATTCCTTTATGCCCCATATGGCTTGATAGTTCATTTCTTTTTTGCCACAGAATAATATTTCATTATATGGCTGTATCACAATTTGCTTATCCTATTAAAAGACATTTTCTTGCTTCCAAATTTTCACAATTACAAATAATACTGCTACAAACACCATTGTGCAGGTTTTTGTGTGGACATGTTTTCAACTCATCCAATACACTTTTGATAAATGCTGTAATCAGTAATCAGTGTCCTCAACAAACAATTTTCAGTGTATTTGCTTTTTACAGTCAAATGCCACTTCTGGGATCTCAAATACATTTTTGGGCTACTTTATAAAGCTCATTTGCTATTCTGCTAAATAAACTGCTTTTGTATTTTGGCCAGGTGTATATAAGAGCAGCAGATTTGCTTTGGGCTCTGGAGGATATGCTTAACTCTGCCAACATATTTGGAATACAGGAGAGAGCTTTATACTGCAGGGAGAACTGACATCTTTGGCTTGGTTCCAGTCCCATCTCTATAACTCAGATTTTTTTGTAGGCATTAAATCTCTTTGGGTTCCAGTCAGCTTCTCTGTAATTCAGGGATTATAATATTTTATATTTTTTAAGCAAAAAATTGAATTAGTAGTTGCCTTGAGATTACCTCTCAGTAGGTGACTAGATATAGCAGGCATTTCAAAATGTAAAGGAACTAAAGAGTGAGTCAGAGAAGCCCAAGGAATGCATCTGAACGAATAAGGAGTAAGAAGACAGTGGATTTCCAGATCATGGGAATTTAAAATGCTTCTATTTCTCATTTTAACCCTTGGCCTGACTAGAATTCCCCTATATTCCTTCCATAGTGGTTGTGCTTTGAGGAGACCCCATTTGATCAGTGACTTGCACCCTCTCAGGCTAGCTGTAGTCAATACCTTGGGTCACCTCGCCAAAGCCTTGCAGAATGAAACCAGTGAAGATGCCCACCTAGTGGCGCCTGTTCTGGGGGCATCAGAACCCTGTAAGGGATTAATGAAGCAATCAGTCTAATCCTTCCAGGGGCTGTAGGGCCACTCTAGATAACTTCCTGGTTACTGAGACAGTGAATAGGGGAGAGGAGTGAGGTGTCTCTGCCTGAAGGGTGTCTTTTTTTTTTTTTAAGATTTTATTTATTTATTATTTATTTATTTATTTATTTATTATTTATTTTAGCGAGAGAGAGAGAGAGAGAGAGAGAGAGAGAGAGAGGAAGCACAAGTGGGGGGAGGGAGAGGCACAAGCAGACTCCTTACTGAGCACATAGCCTGATATGGAGCTCAATCCCACCACCCTGAGAGCTTGACCTGAGCTGAAATCAAGAGTCAGATGCTTAACTGATTGAACCATCCAGGCGCCCCTGAAGAATGTCTTTTCTGTGAATAGAAGAAGCTCTAGAGGGGTGGGGTCGGCTTACAAGTTCTTCCCTTTCTTGCAGATATCACGGTGATTTGTCCCTGGGAAGCGTTTAGCCACCTGGAGTTGCATGAGCTTGCTCAGTTTGGGATCATCTGAGGCACCACAGGTTCTGTCGCTCTCAACAGCATCGGCTGTAATTTTGATTACTTTTGCCCTATTGATCTGCCGGAGTCTTGAAATTCAGCTGTTCGGAAGTGGTTTCTTCAGCTTACACAGTCATTTCCCCTCCATTGCTATGAACAGTTCTCATAGTGTCAGATCCTCTCTTGCCATACAGTTCAGCTCAGAATAGTGGATGTAAATTGTCTTTTATTAGGGCATTTCAAACTTTACCATCTCCCCCCATCAGCTGGTTGGAAATCATTGATAGTTTTCTAGATTTTGTTTATTTGTTAAATCTTTCAAATCTATTTGGATTAGGCAATCCCAATAATTGGTAGTAGCTTTTAAGAGAACATTTATGTCATTCCCTTCCTCTTCTCATTTAATAAAGAAGATACTTACCTTCAATCTAATGATGTGGTTGTATTAAATGCTATATGCAGATATCTGATGCCCTGACCTGAACGACAATTAAACACAGAAGTCACAGTCCTACAGGAAATAAGCACAGTGCATGTGAAAGTTCATAGGAATAAGAGTCAAACCCTGTTTCTATTTTGTAACTTTGTATATCAAGTACTTTTCGGGTCTAAATTTTATTGAACTGGGATATCCCTGAGGGCCTCTGCAGCTTGTACAAGTTAGACAGGCTTATGTTGATGGAAGACTAAAGATTTAAACTCAGGAATCTGATAATTTGGGTCTTCTTTGCGGTGCCTTGGCTCAGTTGATTGAAAATATTTAGATGTGATAAAGTTTAGACTCCAATGCAAAGGAGAGGTAGTTGAACTCTCTGAATAAAATGATGGGTTGCTTCACCCTTGAGGTTGTGTCAAATGTAATGTGCACATAGCTATCTTTCCCCAATACTTTCAAGGCAATTGTGTAATTCAAAGGCTGCTTCTGTGTGACTTGGATGCTTTGGATACCAGCAGTATTAATTTCTTCATTTCAATTTTGTAATCTGTGGTAAAAGAATGAAGTAAATTAACTGAAAAGAGAGGCAGAATTATAGAGAGGAAAGAGATCTGGGTTCTAATCCTAGCCTGACCAGTAAATTACTCTGTAATTTGGGACAAAGATTTCTCTCTTTGGATCCTCTAGTTTGCCTGAATCAGGTAATGTAAGGCTCATAGTAGTGATAATTCCATGACTTTGAGGCCCACGGAGTCTAAGTATGAGAATTAAAGTTGCTCAGCACTCAAGAAAATATCTTGTGCTACAGACTCTGCACTATTTTGCACAAATGACTTACTTGCCATTGGCCATAAGCCCAGAAGCCCAAGGAAAGCATCTGGTAAGGGGGTAAGGAGACTGTGGATTTCCAGACCAGGGGAACTGAAAGCACTCCTATTTTTTATTTTAATTCTTGGCCTGACTAGAATTCCATTTCAGTTCCCCCCCCTTAGTAGTAAAGAAAAAGTACAAAAGAAAAAATAAATAAATTCAAGGGTGGAACTGTGACATGGAAGAAATGTAGTGGTGGAGTGTGCTTCCCCCTCCAGCAGGGACTCTTGCCTCTACTCATGCATCTGTTTTCCAGCTAGCAGCTCCATTTGATAGCCAGAGCCTCGAGCTGCACTTGTTCATTCTTGTATGCCTCTCAGTTATGGATGTCTGGGTTCTTCTCCAGCTGGGTGAGACTCTGGTCCACATTTGACCTATTTTGCAAATGTTTCTCTAAACATTTTAAGAATGCACCCAGAAGAACATACTCAATGGTCAGGCTGGAGAAGGATCCAGAAACCATGCTACATGAAGAATTGTTGAAGGAATTGATAACATTTAGCCTAGATGGGAAAATGATGATTGCCAGCAAGTATTTGCAAAGTTGTAATGAACAGGATGAAGCAGATCTATTTTATGAAGTGTTCTAGCTTTTAGTGGTAAGCTAGAAGAGATAAATTGAAAGCCATTCAAATCCTAGAATTCTGTTATTTCCATTTCTAATTCTACCTCTACCATTTCTACTATTTCTAATAAGAAACAAGGAAGCCCTTCTTATATAAATAGCACATATAGTTAAAGGTAAGTCATGGTCCTCATCAAAGTCCTGGCAGCAGAAATCCAGACTCAGAGTAACTGAGAAAGTTTAATCAAAGGGACTATTTAGAAAGGCTTGGGGTGGAAGAGCCTAGCTGGCTCAGTCAGTAGAACATGTAACTCTTGACCTCAGGGTCTTAAGTTCAAGCCCCATATTGGGTGTAGGGCTTATTTTGAAAAAGAAAAAAAAAGAATACAGTAAAAAAGGCCTGGAAAGGATTAAGGAGTCTCTATGAAAGGTAAGACAGTAACTTGGGGCTAGCAAAGTTTCCAGTCCTACACCTGAAGGAATCCCAGTAAGTCTTCTCTATGCAAAAGGCCTCCAAGAGGGCTGTAGAAGGACCCAGCCACCCCACAGGAGCTTAACCTCCTCTCCTCTTGATTACTTGACGGATTACTGTGAGATGGCTGCGTCCTTCTACAGCCATCTTGGAGACCTTTTGCATAGAGAAGACTTACTGGGATTCCCTCAGGTGTAGGACTGGAAACTTTGCTAGCCCCAAGTTACTGTCTTACAATGGAATATTACTCAGCCATTAGAAATGACAAATACCCGCCATTTGTTTCGACATGGATGGAACTAGAGGGTATTATGCTGAATGAAATAAGTCAATCAGAGAAGGACAAACATTATATGGTCTCATTCATTTAGGGAATATTAAAAATAGTGAAAGGGAATAAAGGGGAAAGGAGAAAAAATGAGTGGGAAATATCAGAAAAGGAGACAGAACATGAAAGTCTCCTAACTCTGGGAAACGAACTAGAGGTGGTGGAAGGGGAGGTTGGCGGGGGGTGGGGGTGACTGGGTGATGGGCACTGAGGTGGGCACTTGATGGGATGAGCACTGGGTGTTATTCTATATGTTGGCAAATTGAACACCAATAAAAAATAAATTTATTAAAAAAAGAGGAGAGAAGGTTAAGCTAATAAGTAACTCAATGTTATTCTTTCCCATTCTCTACTCTTCTGTTGATACCTCCCATTGGATAACCCCAATTGGAAGTCAGAAGACAAAAGGGTTCACTGATGTGGTTCACTGTGTAAAGTTCACTTCCAAGAGCAGAGATCAGGTGGAGAAGAGTGGAGAGTGGATGTGGAGGGGCAAATAGATGTGGAGGGGAATTAGCCAGTGGGTCACAGTATGAAAGAATAGAAACCAACTGTCCACCAGCAATTGTTAGTTGAAGTTGGGAAATAAGCCTGGGTAAGTGTAAAATCTGTGAAGGTGAAGGAAGGACCACGTCAAATAAAATAACACAATCGGCAAAAGAGAACAATAGCAAGAGGAAGTTATCACAGCATTTAAGGGTTTGGAGAATTTTTGGAAATGTTCTGACACTTTCTTGATAATAACAACCATTGTGGCTTTCTTTTTAGATACACAAAATTTGGGCCCCATTCCAGATTTTCTGAATAAAAGTCTCCAGGAGTAAGATCTCGGAAACTTTTATTTTCAAGAGGGGCTCCAGGGGATCCTTGTATTTGTGTCAGTTTGAAAACACTGATGTAGTCCAGGCCTACACTGTAAGTATTAGGAATTGGAGGATTCTTGTTACCACCCAGGCAACTGATGAGCTGGGTCCACTTGCCCCTAATAACATATATAATACATGTGAGAACAGGGGTTAACATTCTGGTGTCTTGACTCTTATATCGATCAAACAGACATGTCTCATGACACTAACTCATTTAATGCTTCTCAAATTGCACAGAATGTCAGAGAGTTTAGAAAGTGTTAGACTGAAGCAGTTCCAAGAAATGTAGGACCAAACAGTCACCAATACTCCCAGGGTGGACAGCTTGCCATTGTCTCACATGGCTTCCCTTACTTAGTAGTCTATGTCATTTGCTGCCCTCATCTTCCTCCTCTGACTGGAGTAGTGGTGACCACGGAGGGAGAAAGCTTTGTCTCAGCAGGTGGAGGCAGTGACCTTCACTTAGCCTCCACCCTTTCTTATTTGTTTACATTATTGGGTAGAAGTTGGGGTCAATGGTGCTGGTGATGTAGGCACCACCCTCCATGCTAGAGCTCAGTAGCATCATGTCAGAGCAGAAACAGTGTGTTGGGAGAAAATGCTCCCCTGGAGTGCCCCCCCGCCATGAGCAAATAAACACAGTTGTTATTAAACATTTGGAACTGTGCAACTGACCTCTATTTTTTTTGAATAATGAGAGAAACAAGAATCACCATAAACTGAGAAAAGGAGGGAAAGTATTGTCTCAGCAACTAAAGAAGTGAGGAGAAAACATACATAGACAAGAATAATTAGTGAGACTAATATTTTGCAGAAGAGGAAAACCAATCCCTCAAGACTGACCAACACAACAAATATTATGGCAACCAAGCATATATGACAATAAATTGTTTTAAAGAGAGAAACAGAAAAGGACTTTTATTTGATGAAAGACTAGAGGGAAAAAGGCTTATACAGGCCACAGAAATTGTGTGCTTATAGAAACTAGCCTAGTGCTTTCTGCAACTTGAAATGAGTTATTTGACTTTGTTTTTTACTTTTTAAGGGCAGACTGATGAAAACTAGAATTTAAAACAAGATTCATAAACCTGTTATCCACATCAGTCACACCCTTACGGCCAATCAGGAGGCGTGGGTTCTGTCCGGCTGTCTGCATAGGATTTGCTAGACATCTTTTGGGGCTCAGTGTTTGAAAATAAAGCATGGATATTGGACTAAGTAATTGCCAAGGTCCCTTGCAGTATAAAATTCTAAAAACCAAGTAATAAATCTAAGCATATTTCAAACATGAACCAGCCATACCCTTTCTGGCCAGAGGTCCTAAGGCACGGAGTTTCGAGCTCTTTTCATATGTAATACTGCCACCTGCTGTAATGAATGACCGCTTCACGAACATTTGGAAGACCCTATCAATTGGAAAACTTTCAATTCCACGGAGCTAGTTCTGAATTTGTTCCCACTCACTGACCAATTTCAATTGTTATGCTATGTGGCTATTTATGTTTATCAAGTGCATGTTTATTCCATATGTGTAATATTTATAAATATTTAATATTTATAATGCTTTTTTAATAATAAATTTATTTTTATTGGTGTTCAATTTGCCAACATACAGAATAACACCCAGCGCTCATCCCGTCAAGTGCCCCCCTCCGTGCCCGTCACCCATTCACCCCCACCCCCCGCCCTCCTCCCCTTCCACCACCCCTAGTTCGTTTCCCAGAGTTAGGAGTCTTTATGTTCTGTCTCCCTTTCTGATATTTCCACCCATTTCTTCTCCCTTCCCTTCTGTTCCCTTTCAGTATTATTCATATTCCCCAAATGAATGAGACCATGTAATGTTTGTCCTTCTCCGATTGACTTACTTCACTCAGCATAATACCCTCCAGT